GATATAGAATCTTTTTTTTGCCCTCTTGGTTATCTGTTTCATTAGTAATGTTCATAATTGTCAGTTATATTCAACTTGAATAAAAAAAACCAATAACTAATGTTATAAATTAATAATTTTCTACTTCCAGTACTAACGATAGGATCCATCAAAATATATGATCAATACATAGCTAAGAAAAAAAAATAGACTAAAACCATCTTCTTAGTGGCTCCATTCTACATACTGGGTATTATTTTTCAAATGGTTTTGTTTTGTATAAAAGACTATCTTATAAAACTAGCTTTTAAGGTTCGGGTTTGACCACAATTATAAGTAGTGTCTATACTATATACACACAAAAGTTCACTCATAGATGTTGAATCATAATGAAATTGAACATATAATAATAAATAGTAGTCATTGTCTGCTGAGCAGGTTTTTTTCGGACGGTTTTTTGCAAATTGAGTTATTTTCTTTATTCTTTGTCTATCATAAAATAAGAATTTCAGTTCATAAACATTTTATTTTTAAACAGTTTTAGTCATTAAAATGTAGTTCGTGTCTTGCTCTTTCTGTTCATATGGATTGAGCCTTTTTCAAACATTTGTGAAAAGCAAAAACTCAGTTTGAAAGATCATCTGAAACAGAAATTCGTCCAACAAAAAAAAATAACTACTGCTCATTATGATATGCTTAGGTGCACTATAACTCAACATTTAGGGGCAAAATTTTCTATGGATATAGCATAGACACTGCCTATAATTTTGGCATAAATCTACCTCAAAAACCAACTTTATCAGGTAGTTATATATAAAACAAAGTCATTGGGAAAATGATGTCCAATACGATATAACGACGGTTTCTGTGATGAAAACTCACTATCATACTTACTGTCAAATGAATCAAAATAATTGCAATATTGATATCTCAACACAGACAAATTCTATAATGTTGAATTATTGCTTTTGAAAGATACATCGTCAAATTCTCGACAAGAATGATAAGCAATAAGCTCATTAAATTGTTTTAACAATTTTCTTTTTTTATCGGGCTAAAATTGAACGACTATATCATGGTCGAATGTTTCTCTATGCTAAAGAGGCGTAAAAATGAAAATACCATGATTTATTATGATCTTGTGATTTTGTGAGCATTAGCTTTTCGATAAAATTTCGGTTTTTAGTCTTGCTTAACTTCTTATCTCCTACAATGATTTTAGCAGAGCTACTAATAAAAGAACTTTATAAATAGAGCAATAGTCTGTCTCATATGTCAATGATGCGGTCTAACCGACCAAGTGTTCATTTCTTTATGTAGGACCGCTTGATTGCTTCAGTGACAATGTAATGGAGAAACGGATTAAAAACATACTGAGTCTTAATATTTCAACTTCTCATGAGTTGAGCTTTATAACGCATGTATCAATTTCGTTCTTGATTACCATTCAGCTGTCCAACAATGGGTCCATAGCCAATAGTATGTCTTAGTGTGGTAACCCGCTAAATTATTGTGAAGCTTTCGAAACATATTCAATTCACTGATGAACTTCTTCATCGACTTATCTCTGTCAACTGTAGATAGAGAATATTTCGTTTCGAAAAATTCGAATTTTTTTCATGCTTCTTGAAAATTATTGATTTTGTAAACCTGATTTTTCAAAGATGGAGCGATAAAAAAATATTCTTGCAACAAATCGATAACTCGAGAAGTTCGTTACAATAGAATGTTTACCGTTTTCAAATTTTATGCTTGCTCTATTTTATGCAGTCGTCCTACAAATAATCACTCCAGTGATGGATAGGCAAATAAACAGTTAAGTATTCTTAAGATCGTTAGCCGATTGCTCTGAAAATCCTTGGTTATTGTGTACGAAAATTTTCTTGTTCATTGGGAACTAAGCCGTTTATTGACTAATTTAATTAGATTTTTAGTTTTTCCACTTCGTCTTCTTAAGACTGCTATGTGAGCAACAACAAGGGCACGTTAATGAAATTACTGCATTTATCGATGAATTGTAGTACGAAAAGTCGCATTCAGTGACCAATTTGAGATTTCTGGAGCTTTTTTCTCGTTTTCATAATTGATCAAAACGACAACACAAAGACCTTTACTCTTTGTTATTTCAGAAAACTCATCAGTACGATTTAGAGACTCTTTTCATGCAAGACAGGCAGAAAATTTAATTACATATATCATGCAAAAAAATAATCTACAGCTTTATGAGCTTTTTAGTGGTGATGTGTGTCCAAAATAACCAATATTAGTTTCATTTTTATTTTGCTCAACATACTAGAACATATAACGGTCACAGTGTTTTCGTTCTAGGCTTTTAAGACTATCATTAAAACTATTCAATGGGATTTTTTATTGGTAGTCGCTTAGATAATTTGACGTCATTTCTATTTAATAAATGATTCAACGTTATAGATTTTGTTTGTGCTCAGATATCGATGTCGCAATCATTTTGATTCATTCACTATATTTTTTCACATTTAGTAATATTTTTTTACGAACTATGAAAAATTTTACGATGACAAAAACAAAGAGTAGGAGCTATAAAAAATTCGTATATCCTCTGAGATAGACAAAATATACAACAAGTAAAAATGCTCACTGTGTCGCGATCAAACACATGTGAGAAAAAGTCTGAAGTAAGAAAATTAAAATTTAGTTTTGCAAATTATCGACTATTTAAGTCATTAGAAGGTAATGACAACAATAAATGATATTGTGTTCGTATCAAATAATGTGCCTCAATTTAATCCAGATTGTAGTATCCACGAATGGTAAACTCAACAACCAAAATATCGGCGATGTTTACTGAAATAACCTCATTTAGTTTCTAACACTAGCAAACAGTAGGAGCTATCTGAGTATAGGTAAAAGAGAAAGAAATGAATACTCCCATATTAATCTGTCTACTTTCAGTGAAAGCCGAACAGAATCATTCAAAAAAACTACATGAAGATGACATTGGCCACGAGTATTTTTGTTGAACTTGTTATTTTTGGTATTTTGCTCGCTGTAATTGCTAGTTTGCATGCACAACAAAGTATCACCATTGTAATTATATATTATCATTTAATCAGCTCCAATTACTTTTACTACTAAACTTAGATAAATCATCTAATGGTAGTACAAGAAATTTCGATTCGACCAGAATTCTTGTTTTTTCTCTTTTTTTTCTGAAAAACCATAGCTACTTGTTTTCAATGCACATTTGATACTTTCTTGTGTAGGTGTAGTTGTGGGTGTGTGGATGGAAAGAAGATCCATATTCATACGGGCACATCCATACTACACCGATATCCACATATACTCACATCTACACCACGTTTTGATGGTTCGGTTTTGATCAAGAATTGGTTATGCCTGTTCAACTTGATTCAACTTAGAATAGTATTGGTAAAAGTGTATGTCTTTTGAAAAAATAATTTCTATATAATGAAACTTCATAATCTCTGCAATTATTTATTAGAGCATTATAAAACGTCTAGTACTATAGTGAGAACGAGTTGAATAAAAGCAGACAAATTTAATGCTAGAAAAAAATCAGCATTAAGATAGATGGAATTACTTATTGAATCGAAAGACCAAGATACGTTCGTGAATACTGCGACTTCTTGAAGGGTATCATCTATTAACATACTCTTACATGAGTAAAAATGTCTGCTGATCAATCTCGAAGAATAAGATCAGTTACTATTTTCAGTCTCACAGTTAATTGTAGTACACATTTAACTTTGTTCCATGTCAGCAGAACCCATTCCACTTAATACAGTTGATAGTGTACTCGGTCTTGTATGCAGATTAGGAATGTCATGAAACTGAGTAAGTGCGCTGTGCTTTGATTTAATCGTCAAATAAAAATTCCAAAACATGTGCATAATAAAGATTCCTGCTTGCAAACAATTGAAAAATGTAAATTCGACTAAGAATTTTTCGACTAAAAGTCAGAATAAACTCAATTAAAATGGTCTTATTCAACTATGATTGAAGCCTCGTTTCTGTCATATTCAACTAGCAATATTTTAATTGACTTTTTTGTTAGAAAGAAATTGATTAATATCAGATTTTTTCTGTTTTTTCTTACGTGGAAAACCTTTCTTGAACAACGAAATACAGTTTGGACTGAGTTGGTTGACACTTTGCAGACCCTGATCACTATTCAGCAAGATATAACAAATACAGTTACAAGGTGAACTAGCATAGAATCTCCGTCATTAAATCATTTATTCAGCTCTTGAACGTAGATCTACTCTACTGCTGTTTAAGTATTCACAGGCATAATGATACATTTACGTTTCACATTTTTGGAGATTCTTGTTAGAATCATATTTCTTTCTGCTATTAATCATAGTACATACAAATATAAAGTTAGTCGCGTGTATTAATATATATCAATCGAACGTTGTTTTATTACTTTTTCTTTTTATATATTGTTGTGAACAACAAAGCTTGTCGATGATTTTTTTATTAAAATTTTTCAACATTAATATTACATCCGTGCAAACCATTTTGAACATATTGTTGTTAGAATACATAATATGACTACTGATTAGTTTCTCATACATAAATATAAAAGAAAAAAGAAAAATAGCAACGAAGAGATGCGTCCAAAGAAAAATGAATTCGATATAAAACACAAAAAAGTACATTAATTTGTTTTAAAAAAAATTCTTATGATTCTTTCTATACTGATAGACAGCTATTGTAGACGAAAAAAAAAACATTTCATAGTTCGTTTGTAAATTCAGACTTGAAGGACTTTGTGAAGATTATGAAGCACGAAAAAGACAAAAATAAACATAATCAAAGTATTGTTGTCAGAAAAAGAAATATTAGTTATTGTATGAACTTCCAATAAATTACTTTTCAAACAAACAATAGTACATTCATTCTATTTGAATGTAATCTCATCACGAATCATCGAACAAATAACCAGTAGAAAAATACAAGATTGAATTTCGACTATTGTTGATCCATTTCGTTTTCGATATATCATATCAAGAGAAACAATGTCATCGATGAATGAATTGGTACCTGCGTCGACACGTGTATCTTATATTCAGCCTCAGTATCTATCTGATGATCGTCAAATGCAACAATACCAACCAGTAAAACAACAACCATCGAAAAGTGATTCGTTTCAATCAAGTTCGTTGGTTAGTGTGACGAACGAGTAAGAATTAGCTCATAAAATCAAATGATCATACTAACATTGATTTTTCATATGAATTTGAATTAGTACGGAAAAAAAATGTAGTATTATGATGCTCGCATCAGGCATTCTTATTGGTCTAGTTGTTTGTGGTGTACCTTTGGCAATAATGGCTACTTTGTATGCACAAACAGGTAAGCTTCAGAGAATGTGCCATATCTGACTTGAATGAATTACATTTTTTTCGTTGATCGAAGTAGGAAACAATTCTACTGGCTCGGCAAATACAGGTTCGAGTGGCGGAAATATGTCTGGTTCATTTCTTTAATAACCATTAGTTCTTTTTCTTTTTTTTATAGCAAGTAACACGAGTACTACTAGCCTGCCTTCACAGTGTAGTTCATACACAACAAACGCAGAAGGTTCGCGAAATGTGGCCTCCACTTCTTGTTGCTCTTGTGATAGTAGTCTAACCGCAGGATGGTATCGATTTATAGCACCAGCGGGTACTCAATTAGCTACAAGTCCTGTTAGCCAAAGCTATTGCGGAGCTACTTATACAGGTTGGTTCAATGGTACTCTTCCGACAACTACCGGAGGAATAACAAGCGGCACAGTTTGCATGAACTACGGTAGTAGTTTATGTCACTCAACATATTCAGTTAGCGCAATACTTGTAACCAACTGTGGCGATTTTTATGTCTTTTATCTGAGGCCTTTGTCTATCTGCAATTCTCGATATTGTACAGCATAAAAACCATGTTGTTGCCAAAATTAACAAAGACGATTGACTTATCTCATTTTTTTTTTAAATTCTTTTCCTACTAATTCTTATCTCTGATTTTTATATGCAAATTATTCTCTAATAAAAAGTTGCCTTTTTCATATGAAATACGTTAACTAGAAAATAAGAAACAACGAATTGAAACAACTCGTGACAATAGTTCCATCCAGTTTTAATCACCTTGTGAAAGAATATTGTCGACTAGTCTCATCATAATTAGACAGACAGCAAAAATGAAATGATATTCAGTGGTTTTATTTACAGTAGATTTTGTTGGCTATATATGGCTGCAAGGAAAATAAGATATTATTTGCCGTAACAGTCAATGAAAACATTGAAATTTCAATTAAAATACATTTCAAACATCATAAGTTTTAGTGCACGAAGAAAATCAGTGGAGCATCTTTTTGTAATTGCATTAAGCGTAATAAACAATTGATGTTGGCTACTCAAAACGACTGAAACGATGTATTGTATTCTATTCAGAATTCTTTATTCTTTTTTAAAATCCGTGTATTATATCAAAATACTACAAATACTTCGAAGTGTTTTCGAAACTTTTATTAGCTCATAGTTATCAAAAAGTGTTTTGAATAACTGATTTGATTGGTTTCATGTAACATTTGGCATCAGAATATTACTTTTGAACACAAATTTTCGTCTCTCAATAATATGATGCTACTTATTTTCTTCTTTCTATTTTGTTTAAAATAAAAGTTTCGAATGATATAGATTTTCTCAATATTTCTTATACGATCTTTTCTTGTATTTCATAGATAATAATGACAAGATTCTACAATTTCATGTAATTGCTATCGTCGTAAATCAATGAAACTTTTCATCTATGAAAGAACATATGCTTCTAGTTTCTTGTTATATTGTTTGTCGAATTTGATTGCATTCGCACATAATAAATTTGATTTTATTTATTATTTTCGCTGGAATTAACAATAACATGAAGACTTTTAAATTCCAAAACAGAAAAAAAAACAATTAGTTTTATTTTTAGAGTACAGAATAATCAATATAAAATGATTTTGTTGTTCAAATTTTTGAAGTGAAATTAAAAAAATTCTTTTTTATACTTATGGCAGACTATCAGCAACAAAATCAACGAAGGAGCCTCTGGGGAGCGACAAATTCAATGCCAATCATAACTGAAGCAACACCTTTATCGACCCGAGTATCATCAATTCAGCCTCAGTATTCATACGATGAGCGTAGAATGCTACCATATAGAGAGTCAAAACAAGCATGGTCACCAGATAATTTAATACTAAACTCGAGTGCTGGTGCAAAGCAAGGGTAGGAATGAACTCACAAAATAAAATTATTATACTAAAATTGTTCTTTTCCTATGAATTAGAATTAGATCGACAAAAAACTTTGTTACAATGCTCATAGTAGGCACTCTTATTAGTGTGGTTGCTTGTGGTGTGCCTTTGGCAGTAATCACTGCTTTGTATGTACAAGCAAGTAAGTTTCAAAGCATGTGTCATATCTGTCTTTAAATTCATTATATCTTTTTGTTTTTACAGAATCAACAAATACTACTAGTGGAACAAGTAATACAGGTTCGAGCAACGAAAGGCTGTGTGTTCTATTTTCCTAATAATCATCAATATTTTTTTCGCTTTTTACAGCAAGTAGTACTACTCTGCCTTCACAATGTAGTTCATACACGACAATCTCAGATGCAACACGAAATGTGGGCTATTCATCTAGTTTTAGTTCATGCGATAGTAGTCTAACCGCAGGATGGTATCGATTTGTCTCGCCAGCAGGTACTCAATTAGCTACAAGTGCTGTTAACTCAGGCTATTGCGGAGCAAACTATGGCACTTGGTTCAATGGTAGTCTTCCGACGACTGTTGGAGGAATGTCAGGTGGTTTCGCTTGTTCTTATTACAGTGGCAGTGTATGTTACACACCATATTTGGTGGAGTCAATTATTGCCACAAATTGCAACGGTTATTATGTCTTTTATCTGAAGCCATTGATTGCTTGCAACTTTCGGTATTGTTCCACATAAAAATCATATTGCTTGCCAAAACCAATACAGACAATTGATTTATCTCATTTTTATTAAACTCTTTTCTTAAATAATTGTCCTTTTCCGTACAATTTATTCTCTAATAAATCATTTCTTTTTTTTAATATTGGATATCTACATCAAAAAACAAGAACAAATGAATTGAAACAACTAGTGGTAAAAGTTTCAGCCATCACTGATCCCGTTGATAGAGAATTTTTGTCGACTAGTCTTGTCATTCTTTGAAGAACTGCAGTAATATAATGATATTCATAGATTTCATTCGCAATAGATTTTGTTGGCTATATATAACAACAAAACACAGGCCAGATGCTATCGTCGTAACATTCAAAGCGATGTTGAAGTTTGATTTAAAAAGATTTTGAATATCATAAAAAAAATTTTACTGCACTTATTAAAAAAACGAAAGAGCATCTATTTTGATCATGTAAATAGCATGAAGAACCAAAAGTGGTTACTCTATAGAAAGTCAAGCGCCGGTTCCGCTTTCCATAAGTCTCAGACGACACGATGCCTGTAGCTGAATGTGCGTCCAATCTAATACAACTATACCTGGAAGATTTATTTGTTATTGATTCTATATAAGCTTTTTTCTTGAAATGTGGTCGCTCAGCGAAAACTGAAAATTTTTCAAAGACATAGAATACACATGTAATTGGCATTATGGCAGTGTTGTTACTTCGAAAAGAATTCACTATTTCTCATCCTTAAAGTTAGTATTGACAAATCTTTTGAATCTTCCGCAGCTTATTGAATCAGCATAGTGCTTTGCACTTTGTTATATAATGGGTCAAATGGCTTTGACTTCGCCTCGAAAATTTGACAGCATGATTGCATTCTTTAATGTAATAATTATTAAGAACTATACTAATAACACATGATCAACAAGTAATGCTACGATTGTTGACCTCTATATCTCATCGATAGCAACGTTCACAGATGGATTTTTATTATGTAGTCTTATTGAAAACTTCTATTCATCTTAGCAGTAGTATTTCATAGAAGGAAAATAACGAAATCTGTAGAAACTTGGCAAAGTCAAGTAACAATATTCAGAGATGGAAATGGTACCAACCATCAGCCGATCCACACTCGTCTAGCCTACTCAAATCGGTACTGATACAATTCGTAAAAAATTTCGATCGATTCTATCTCTGGTGATGTTCTCAAAGAAAAAGAAAGAAAGTCAAGCAATTGTTCCGCGCTATCCTCATTTAATGAACTTTGTTTGAATGAAATCCATTTTCTACGTTTTTCTTAGAATGTTCCTACTAGAACAATAGATTGTCCAATTGTGTTAGAATTGTTGGCATTGCTGCTATGGTAAATAAACTATATCGATAGATGTCCACTGAAAGCTTCATGATCGACTAGTTCTTAAATTCATCGTGAAAAATAAATCGAAAACGGTAAAATAGGTTAGGAAAAAGGAATCCGGCATTTACGAAAGTTAAAACAAACACCTGCTCTTATCCAGCAAAGCTCAACATAATTCTGTCTGCGAGTAGGCTCCACCGGATCGGATTGCAGAACTCTAACCAAAAGCTCTAAAATAAGAAATCATATACTATTGAGAATTCTTCAATCGTTTTGTAAGTTTTTTTCCTTTTAAAAAGCACTTTTTCGTTGTGTTAGAAAACAAAAACTACTTCCAAACGGCTGCGAAATATCTATTATTTGATAATTATTAAAGAAGTATGTTGAATGACTTCATCGATTGGTCTTCGGTAATATTTGGCATCAGTATGTTATTTTCAAAAAGTAATTTCCGTCTGTGAATAATCTAACGCAACTGAATTTTTTTGTTTCGCTTTATCCAAAACAAAAATTTGAGTTATCAAGATTTTATAAATACTTTTCATACGACATCACTTTCCTTTCCATAGATAAAAATAACGAGACTACAATTGGTTATAGTTGTTGTCGTCGTAAATCAATAAAATTTCTCAACTATGGAAGAACATATACTTCTAGCTTCTTGTTGTCATATTTTGTCGTGATTGATTATGTCCGAAAATAATGAATTTTTTCTAAGGATTATTTGTTTTGCCAATCAATAATAAGATGAAAACTTTAAAAAACGAGAAGAGAAAAGAAAACATGATTGTTTTTATCTTAATATAAAGAAAAATCAATATGAGATTATTTGTTTTATTGCAGACTTTGAAATGAAATTAAAAAATTCTTTGTATAACTATACATAAAACAATCAATAAAAACATATAATAAAAGAGTGCCAGGGTAACGGTAAATTTGATGCTGAGAATAACTGTAGTAATGTCTGCACTGGATCGCATGTTTAATTCAAGCTCATTATTCATTTTATGATCGCAAAATGCGGCAATAAGAACAGACGAAATAACAAGACTTGAATATCTATGTCCATGTTGCGCAAACCAGTTAAAAACTGTTGGCTAACTGCGATTCATTTGCTGGATGCCTTTTTTCTATATCTAACTGCTTGAATATTTGTAAGCTTTTAGAAAGAATGCCAGACTTCAGTCCCAATCGTGCCTTCTGTTTATTATGAGTGTGTCTAAGACACCTGTATCAGCTCGCTCGGCTGTTTTCGTTTCATTTTTGAATTTTATTATGTATTAAAAATGGCGCCGTATGACCATATATATACAGTAGCATAGAAAAATTGACTGTTTTCAGTAGTGACTGATGGCGTCAAGATTGAAAATATTAATTCAATAGAAAATATATTAAAAAAAATCTCGAAGAAAAAGGAGTAAACCGTTCGAGCAATCGGTTTTGATAAAAAATTGATGACATGAAATACTTTTGATCAAATCTATATGTTAACGTAAAAAAAGATTAAGAATTAGCTCACAAAATGCGATGATAACACTAGTATTGACTTTCTTCTATGGATAAAAATGAGTTCGACCACAAAATGCGCCATAATGATATTCCTGATGAGCACTCTTATTGACCTAGTTATTTGCAGCATGTTGTTAGCAGTAATGACTAGTTTTTACGTGTGAGAGTCTGTGTACTATCATCCTTATCATCGGTGCATTTATAATATCGCGCATTTTTAGTTTACATAGAAGAAGCTCACGTTAAGATAAGCACCGTTTCAGTTAATACACGTTCGAATTTAGTTATACTACTGTTTTAGAATAGAGTGTGTGACTGATTGTTGTGTATACGATTTCGCTTTGACTGTAACAGCACGCTAACGAGTGTGCCATAATGAATTCGACGTAATGTAAATATCATTTCTCATTCAATTATTATGTATAAAAATACTCATTTGCATATCAAAAGATGGAAAATTTCGTGTTCTACAAAATTGTGTGCTTCACTTTTACAAGGAACTTTTTTCTTGATACAGCAACTCAAACATTTGCATCTCGTATATATTGTAATTGCGATGCATCGTTGCTCGTGCTTTTCAGAAGCATACATTATTAAGGAACTTGATTTACACAGAAAATATTTTGTATGAAAAGATATAGAGAATGTTATCGTATATCTTGCTAATCCATTTTTGAATAGCCAAAATTATCTGACGAATTGAAAACCTGTAGCATATATTATTTGTGATGATTGTGGAAAATATTTAAACCAATAATGCAGAGTTTTATTCTATACAAGATCATGCAACTACTGTTTTTCCTTTATTTAGAAAACGAGTAAATTTTTCACTGAGCACAATATCTATTTTTGTTTTCGTTTGTTGTAATGTAACAGTAGGATATAGAGTGTACATTACTGCACTCATTGCTTTTCAATGAGAAAAACATTTCTTTGTAACGCAAAGTACATAGATTAGTAGAACTTGAAATTCTTTATACTTTTGGTACATGAATGAATATCTTTTATACATATTAAGTGAGAGCAGATTGTATTTAAATTTAGTTTAATTCATTATGGCCCATCTGTTAGTATTAGTTCATAAGAAGAGCTGATACTTGATTAGGTATCAGATGATTGTTTTTGAATTTTTTAAAGTGTTCTACACAAATTCGGCAACGATAAGATAAATGACAATAGAGTTTCTATTCAGATTTAAATAAAAATGCCATCAGTTCAAGATTTACTTTAATTTTAAAATATGAATTTAAATGAAAATCGAACAGGATTCCAAGTTGTTGTCATGTTTTATTTAATTTTCAAAAAATTTGAGATAGATTTCTATTTTAATAGACACGTCTTCTATAAGATCAAGTCTCAAATAAAAGTTAAGAAAAATTTTGATTCTTATGCTTTTGTTATAATGAATTATAATTCTGTGTGATTTTAATCATAGTTAATAATACTTGAACGATTATTTCAAAGAGCCTCTACTTCGTAACAAAATTGATCAGTCCGACTATATAAGCACATTGCGCATAACCAACAGCATAATTCTGTATTAAAAACCGATTTTTCAATCATCTAGAAAACAAGCTCGATTTCAGAATATTGATCTTCAGCATAGCAAGTTATACAGGACTCACTGTTGAAAAACACTATTTCATAATTGTATCTTCTAACTTCATCAGAAAAAATTAAATTAATCAGAACACAACCACATATTCAAAAGAACGTCTAGTTGTAGAAAAAGAAGCTTTCGATAATAACTAAAACAACGTAATGTTTTCGATTCTTCCAATTATTAAAGTTTTTCTGATATCTTTAAATAAATTGAAGTTTTCTTTTTACTTAAAGTTGAGAGAAAACCGAAAAAGTCAATTGTCTGTCCTCTATTCTTAAATCGAAAAGATCAATTTAATCAGAAACATCTGGTTCCGACTCTTTCTTAATTGTTTATATTTCATTACTTAAAAATGATATAGAACTAACATTTTTACTATAAATAGAACTCATAGCGATTTTTAATCGATAAAAATTTTAACTTTTTACAGTCTCAATTTCATTCAGAAAGAGTTTGTAAACGTTCAATTTTTGATAAAAATCCAGATTTTTACTCGAAGCTATATACCAAGAAACTTGTTGCATTGATAGTTACGAATTCAGAAACTGAAAGCTCTATCTGTTGTTTACAATGTCATATGAAAATGACTCTAGGATCATGAGAAACAATCCAGATAAGAAGTTATTTTTCGCGAACCCAAATGAAGTCAGTGGTGGAGTAGGTAGTTCTTCATCAAGAATTTCAATCAGTGATAAGAATTCATTTTAATTATCGTATCTACACGAATTTTTATGGTGAATATGATAGTTATCGTCTGATGTCTATATCTCAAAGCCAATATTTGAGAAACTCAAGAAAACCTGAAAATGATCAAAAAACACTTGTGTGTACTATTCCCATTAAAGAAAAAACTATGATAGTCCAACTCAGCATTCATACAGAATCAGTTATGTAACATGAAGATGACATCGTCCTATGAGCATCCATTTCAAAATTTGACAATCTTGTTGATGATTTCATTCTCTGAATTCTAGATTTTCCAGAGATCCGAAAATCAGAACTCAATTTTTGATGTTCAGAACTAGAACATATGAAAAAGCAGAGCTAAAAACCGATTATCTATGATTTTTAGATCAACAGAATGTATTAGAAGAAAATGATGATGAAGACAAACTTAGTAGTGCACTGTTAGTTTTGTTTCGAACAAGATTTTTAATTAAATGTTTCTCCACAAACAATTTATTCTTTCATCAACGAAAAACTATGTATAATTGATTTTTAGCTATGCTCTTTCAGATGCATGAAGTTTAGACATCACAATTTTAGTTCTGATTTTCAATATCTATGGAAAATCAGGGATTTCAGACAGTGAGCCATCAATAAAGCAGTTAAATCGTCAATGAATATTCCTGTGACGATGTTATCTTTGTGTTATATCGGTGATTCTCTGCTAATAAGGACTTGGAGTGTAATTGTTTCTCTGTAATGAGAAGGACATACGGGTTTTTAGATTATATTTAGGTTTTCTTGATTTTCTCAAAGACTATCTCTGAGATATAGACATCAGAAAGTAATCATTGCGAGTGGCATCGAAATTCGTCTAGACAGCATAATTAAGACAACATTTTATCACTGATGGAAGTTTCTGGTGATGGATTCCTACGCCGGCATCAATTTCATTTAGACTTTTGCCGACAATCCCTAATCTAAGACGTTTCCAGAGATCTTCGACTTATTGTACAATGACGTCGTACATCACAGATGAGACTTCCATCTTCTCAAGATCAGCTTTCAATGCAACAGGTTTTTTGATAGACTATCTTGGCTGAACTCAATTGAATTAAAATTTCTATCGAGTAGAGATCTATATGAAATGGATCTGCAGTAAAATTTTCACGCCTCTATCTTCTTCCACTAAGGATATATAAAACTCTAACTTTGTCGAAAAGATTGACTTCAGTCTTTACAACTGAAATCTATAGAATATCAATGACTCATATGTTTGCACCGAAAATTTTGTTTTAAGCGGAATTTATAGATGTATGGATACGCACAAAATTCAACTTGATTGTTCAAACTATCTATGCAATATCAAGTTGTCAAACTGCTTCTTATCGAGATTGCATTTTTCGGCGCTTTCAGAGACAAGAGTCGGTAAAAGGCGAGGCTTCAATATTTCTTAAAGCTACTTGCACCTAAATTCATACAACTTTTACATATACAACCTATATAAAATTGAACACGATCTGACGACCTCAATAGAGCACACTCTCTGATCATCCATCGTGGCTTACGTGGATTGGCTGGTATAATAAATTGTTACATATATCATATGAGGAATATTGAAAATAAATTTAAATTTTGAATTATAACAATGCGTCTCATACTTGTTTTCAATGTAGAAAAAAATGCAGTATGAAGAAAGAAAAAACTAGAAAAAAATGAACTTTTATTAAGAATTTAATACAAGAACTGAATTCGAATGACATCTATCATGAAAAATTTGATTGTGTTTTGATGAGCAAGGAATGAGTCATATCCAAATTTCTTGTCTCGATGTTTCCAGACAGATAGTTGTTTTGTATATATACTTGAACTCATTAAAACTTTTTATACACTTATAACAGCTGTTGTAGCATATTTGAAATACTTATCAAAAAAACATTCGGAAATTTATTACTAGACTTGTAATTTACTTTTATTTCATCATATAGTACTCCTTTACAGTCGTAATACTTTCGCAATTACATTCTTCCCTATCTTCATACTCTATCAACTCCAAAACGTATAAAAACACTCGTTTTTTTTCGGTATAAAGTAATTTCAAAAGCTATTTCTATTCCAGAAAAGCTATGGCTGAAAGTTGTGTTTCATCAGATCAGTCTCAAAATATACCTTTGCAAGAAGCATATTCGAATAATAATCATAACGATAATAATAATAATAGAAAGCAAAAACGTCGACCAGTACAAACAAGCTCACAAGACGTTCGTTATAATCATCGTTCATATCTACAACAACAACAACAACAACAACAATGGTATCCACGTCACATGTATTATGATGAATATTATTATGGACCGCCACCTTCACGCGGAGGACATTACAGTCATAATCATCAACAACAACAACGACGAGCACAATTTCGTCATGGGTCATCATCTGTGCAAGCAAATCAACAAGTAACTAATCGTCCAAATAGTAATTCATCAGTACGATCCACAAGTGAAGCTGAAAATCTTCGTTCAACATTAACTGAACAATTATTTGAAAATATTTATGAATGTATGATTTGTATTATCAAAATTGAGTATGTTTCATTGCATTATATAATAAATTTAAACATAATTTATGTATATATATGTATTTACTTTAGACGAGATCAAGAAATATGGTCATGTGATATATGTTATAAAATGTTTCATTTAAATTGTATTAAAAAATGGGCTAGTTCAGAAGAAAGTGGTACAGATAAAAATTGGCGTTGTCCAGGTTGTCAATATTCTTATTCAACAAATCCAGTTTATAGATGTTTTTGTCATAAACGTATTAATCCAGCATTTCAACCTGGTGAAATTCCTCATTCATGTGGTGAAAGATGTGATAAACGTTTGAATACGAAAGCTAATGATTGTCATCATCATTGTTCAGAGTAATAATTCTATTGAATTAAAAGTTTATTTTATATTTTCTGTGTTTTTTTACTATTAGACTTTGTCATCCTGGTCCTTGTCCAACATGTACAATAATGATAAAACGTTCTTGTTTATGTGGACGTGAATCTCGTACTGTTATGTGTAGCTCAAGTTCCATAATTAAATGTGAAAACAAATGTGGTAAACTTAAATCATGTCAACATCATACTTGTGATTTGGTAAATAAGCATTTGAATAGAGAATGATCGAAAAGTTTTTAGACATGATATTTGTTCACTTTTGACACACTTGAAAATATTTTCGACGAGAGTCAAAGGTTGAATTAAGATGAGAATTTTGTACTTAACTTAGAAATTCTTTTTTTTAGTTATTTTTGCTTGAAAGTAGTGAAATAACTTTTGAAAAGCTTAAAAAATGGTCAAGTTTCTGTTATCCTAGAGGAAAGTACCTTTTTTTTTTCAAAGAAAATAGAAAGACCTTGGGAATAAACCATAGAGATCTTGTTCTATCGTCCTATATGATAAAGATTGGTTCGGAAAAGTATGCTTGCTTTGTTAACTAAAGGTTTCCTAAAAAGTACGTATCAATGTAATCGGTGAACACACTTAATCATAGTTCCTAACTCGGTGAAACTTTCAAAAAAATGTTCTTTTACTATTGAAGATGTCTACTCAATATGAATGCTCTTGAACTGAGATCTAAGCTTTCCGTGTACTTCTGTTTCAAAAGTACTTTAAGAGAAGAAAAGGGCATATTGGGAACAAAAATTGAGGTATCCTATCGAGAGATAAAAACAGTGCACGTTGTAGGGTGGCCTCTGATCTATAAGTTGCTGTATAAATAAAGAACTTGACTTTTATTTTCCAATTGCAACGGTGAAAATATAAAAAAATTCTGTCCAAACTATTTTTTTTTGACTTTCAAAAATTATTGCGATACTTTCAAACAAAAAATTAAGACAAAATCTTGATTCGAACTCATAACTTATAATAGTCGTCAGAAATACTATCTCACAAATCAAAATTAAACAAATATCATGTGTAAAATTTTTCCATTTATCTATTTTGTGATTATTATTTTATTATATAATTTAATATTTAGATTTGTCATCCACGAGAATGTGCAGAATGTGATCAATTAATAAAACAAATATGTTATTCACATGGAACTGAAAGAGAAGTTTTATGTAGTATTGAAACTGGTAATACAAAAACCTATACATGTGGTGAACCATGTGGAAAATTACTTTCATGTGGTCATCATAAATGCACAAAAACATGTCATACTGGACCATGTCCAGATTGTTTATTATTACCAGAAAATTGTAAAACATGTGCTTGTGGAAAAACAAATATGGATAATCAACAACGAACATCATGTCTTGATTCTGTATGATTAAAGAAATAATAATTTATCCAAAAAAAAAAATATTGTTCTTTTTTTTTTTATTTAGTTACCAACTTGTGAAAAAATATGTGAAAAAATTTTATCATGTGGTCCTATTGATGATCATCATCGATGTTCAGCTCAATGTCATAATGGTCCATGCCCACCATGCAATAAACAATCTATTCTACAATGTCGTTGTAGACAATCAAGTAAATCAGCATCATGCACAGAAGTAATACAATATGATCCAATAAAAAATCCTTATTGTTGTGAACGACGATGTAATAAAAAAAAAATATGTGGAAAACATCGGTTAGTTATTTTCATTTATTTAAAATTGTAAATATTTTTTTTTCTTTTGCGTGTAGATGTAATGAATTATGTTGTGATCGTGATATACATGTTTGTGAAATAATCTGTGGTAAAACACTTAATTGTGGTATACAGTATGTATATTTAACATGAAAAAAAAAAACAAAAAGAAAAATAATAATTTAACAATTTTTTTTCTGTTTCAGTAAATGTGAAGAATTATGCCATAAAAATTTTTGTCGTAAATGTCCAATTAATAGTTATGATGAATTAACATGTCGTTGTGGTCAAACTGTTCTTCAACCACCTATTGAATGTGGTACTAAACCTCCAATGTGTAATTATAAATGTAATCGAACACATGCATGTGATCATCCTGTTTATCATAGTTGTCATAATGAGGATGAATGTCCACCTTGTACACATCTTGTTTCAAAAATGTGTGTTGGTGAACATGTATTACGTAATAATGTATGTAGCAAAAAAAAAATCTTCTTTCATTTTCGATTTATTTCCTTTATTTTTTAGGTTCCTTGTTATTTAAAAGAAGTCTTATGTGGACAACCATGTGGTCAACTACTTTCATGTGGTATTCATACATGTCAACGTTCATGTCATTTAGGTCCATGTCAATCAAATGATCAAAAATGTACACAACGATGTACTATAAAACGACGTGAATGTGGTCATCCATGTAATGTTTTATGTCACGGACATGAACCATGTCCAATAACAACATGTCGAGAAGTAATTAAACTTCATTGTCCATGTGGTCGTTTAGTAAAAGATGTTGTTTGTAATGTAAAACCAAGTGAATCTAGTGGAGTAAAAGATGATATTGATTTAACTCAATCACTTGTTCAAGCATTATCAGTTCGAACAATTGATTTATCATTTGCACGTAAACAACAACAGCAACAACAACAACAACAACAATTAGAATGTGATGATGAATGTCGTATAATACAACGAAATAAAAATTTAGCTCAAGCTTTATCAATTAATCTTGAAGAACCAAGATCATCACCAATTGTTTATACGGATTTTTTACGTGATTATGCAAAAAAACACTTAGAATTTGTTCAAACAATTGAAAAACAATTTTCACAACTTGTTGAAGAAACTCAACGTCATCGTGTTTCAAAACGATGTTATTCATTTAAACCAATGAAAATTAATGAACGTCATGTAATTCATGAATTAGGTTCGTTTTATGGTCTTGAAACACAAGCTATGGATCCAGAACCAAATCGTAATGTTGTCGCTTATGCATCTTATGGCATGTGTAAAATCCCATCGGTTACATTAAGTGAAACGATTCGACGAGAAAAACTCAAAGTACCACCTCCAGCACCATTGACATAAACTAATATTTATATATATATATTTCTTTATTCACAGATATGCGTAGTTTTTATTTCTTTTGGTTTAATTGTTTTCATATTTAGATGAAATAAAGATAAAAGAAAGCAAAGAACTAAAGCGATATATATATTCCTATTTTGAAAATTAAAGAAATATAGTATTGTTAAATCTTTTTTATTTTTGTTTTTTTTGGGTTAGATTACGATTTGTATCGTAGCTCTGGATATGTATTGTCGACCATTGCTTGCAATTTCTAGACGTACTCTAAATACTTCTAATATTGCAAGTCGATGTTTAGTAGCATCATACAATAATCAACTAATATATACGTCTCAACAACATAATCGTTATTTAGCTCAAAGTACATCAAATGAACGACCACCCGGCCGTCTACGTCGATTTTTTCGTTGGTTCAGAGGAAAAGCTGAACCATCAAATTACACAAAACCAATAACTCCACCTCCAGTACCATTAACAACTATGCAACGAGTAAAGCGTTTTCTTGCTCTTGCTCCAAAAATAGAACATTTTTTTCTTCGTTCACATATTATTGAAGATGAGGATTTAGCTCGATTATTATCAAAAACAGCTACAGTAACAATCTATGCGTTTATTGGTATTACTACACTTGGAACACTTGGTGTTGATACTAAACCATTATTAGCTGGTATTGGTATAACAGGTTTTACAATTGGTTTTGCGCTTAAAGAAGTAGCAACAAATTTTATAGCAGGTATTTTTCTTGTTATTAATAAACCATTTGTTCGAGGATGTCGAATTAAAATTCATGGAAGTGGTGGTGGAATTGAAGGTAAATTTATATTGGTTTTAGTCTACGTTACGTTCTATTGAATATTATCTCTTGAAAATAAAGGTCTCGTCCATTTTATCGATATTCGATATGTGCATCTAAAAACGAAAGATCGTAAGTGAAGAATTTTCTTCTATTATAAGAGAATATCAAGAGCATTTGTGTTCATATTGCAGGTGGTATTGTAATGGTTCCGTCTGCAATTGTTTATACGAATGCATTTACTGTTTTTCCAGTTGATGATGAAGCTAATGCAGGTTTTCTTGATATGACTAAACCGCCAACAAGTGATCCTACCAAACCTACTCAACCATCATCATCATCATCATCATCACCCACATCTAACATTACTGTTACAAAAGAAAAACCATTAAAGATGAACTTTGATCCAGAACCAGTGGGATCATTTAAAAAAAGCAATATCTAATAAGAACAAAGAACTATAGAAAATGTATATGTTTTTCTTTTTGACTGATATATTTTTTTCTTTTTTCATATTATAAGATCTTTCCTTAAGCTAAATACGATTAGTCTATGAATAACCATAAATATATTTAATTTAATCTTGTCTATTCAAACGTGATTAAATGGGATGAAAAACTCACGATAAAAAATAGACATATACATATATAATCAATAAATATCATTCTTGATCCAGTGCGTCATTAAAAAACACGCTATCATCTCGATCGAATATCGGTCGTCCCATAGATGTTTTAAAATAATTTTCATTAAAAACTACACGGGCCCAAGCTAATGTTTCATTGCATACTTGCATAGCCCAATATGCTTTTCGTGGTTGTACAAGCCAATCAGCATCAGCAAGAAGTAAATCTAATACCTGTGAAGCCTCATACCAATCAACAAGAAGACGACCATGTATAGGTAATTCGTTATGACAGGAACGAATATATGAAATAAGAGAATTTAATGTTGGAAAGCTTCTCGTCCCCTTTGTTACAATGTCAGCAATATATTCTGCTGTACGTAAAACAATTAATAAAGCCGTTTTTGTTATTGATGTTGCTAATGTTATTTGTTGCATATCATTTTTGTCAAGTTCAAGCATTTGATTAAATGTATGTTTTAAATTAAGAAAATATTCAGTTAAACTATCCAAACTAAAGTTACCAATGTTGGCAACTAATAGTTCGTTTTGAAAAGAATTAATATGATCAGTTTGTGCTTCAATCGATGCTACAGTACTTGGTTCGTGAGCATCAGCTGATGGAATATCAAACGCATATTGTCGTAATTGTTCATTTTTTTTAGCTTGTGTATTATGACGCAGTTGGTCAGCAAGTGCAAGTGCATGAGACCAACGTCTATGAGAAAACGGTCCCGTTTGTCTACCATTTTCATAAAAGTTACCATTATTACCATTATTACCATTAATATTATTTGATGCTGATTTGTTTTCACTCATTCTTCTATAATAAAATAAAAAAAAGATTCCTATGAATTAAATAAAAGTGCTTCGGTTATAAGTATATAAAGAGAAATAATAAATGCTCTCTTCTTCATTTACTTTTTTCTTTCTTATTGTTCTTATACTTTTCTTCTAGTTTCTCGTTTATCTCATGAGTAAGAGTGCGTTCATGTCGGAGATCAAATATATAACGGGAATTAAAACTAAATTAAGTAAAGGCATTGGTGTTTCCACATAGTAACACTAACGATATTATTTAATTTTATTTCGATAGTTATAGCATGTCTAGAAGAAGCATTCTTGATATTATACTCTTCGTTGAATATGCTACAAGATGCGCTACAAGTCGTATTTTTTTTCTTCTTCTTCTCTTCCTTTTACGCAAAAAATAATCGACAAGTGCTATAGAGCAAAGTTGACTTTACTATTGTGGCTGTTCGCTAGTCACTATGTCGGTATAGTTATCCTTTCTTTCCTTAGTCTTTTGGTAAGAAAAAAAACAAGCGACATTCTTTCATTTCTTACTTATTTTCGAAAACAACCATTTTTTTTATCGATGTTTTTATTTTCATTACGTGTTATAGTGATAGTCAATCAGAGTGCTATGCACCTCTTATCTACGAACCAAGAAAATATTTTCGTATGTCAACTACACTTTACCCTAAAGGATGCAACATGCTATTTTAACTGATTATCTAGAGATCAATTAATACTACGAGACGTCATTAGATAAAAAAAATAATAATAATCAATAACGATGCTATGCCATAATACTTTTTGTAGTCTGTCAAAAAATAGCAAAACAGCATCCTTTTTTTATTTATTATCTTTGATAATAGAAATTTTTGCATTGAAGAATTAACAGAAAACAATTGTAATTATGATTTATGTGACAGTGGTCTTAATCCAATAACAATTGTCATAGTCTTTGTTCTGTTTTTTGTTTTTCCTGACACGAACACAAGTGATTTGCATGATAAGACAAAAACCAGAATCAAACGATATAGTTACTGCATATTGACTCATTTACTATTTGTTGTTTATTTCATTTATAAAAAAGTAGTATTAAATCAGTACTGATTATGCATCATTTTCAATAATAGGTTTCATATAGATAAAGTAAATATAAGTGGTACTCGACAGATATGAGAAAATGTCCTATGTAAACGTCGATGAAAGTTAAATAAAAAAAATCTCATGATAATTCTTTTCTTGATAATAGAAACGTCTCATGATAGTTGATCAAAGATGTAAATAATAATGCATGACGTATTTCCTCTGCAAACTAATCCATTGTTTTTTTTTATAATATATGTGCAGATAGATGTAAAGACAAATATTTATCATTTTTGCCCATGTGAGTTTTGTTTTTCTCATATTACTAATATTGTTGAAGTCATAAACATCAATAAAAAATCAATTATATTTTTCTGAATATGACTGTTGAATCGAACGAACTATGCCGTATTTTAATATTTACTAAATAGGTCATTCATTATTAATCAAACAAATGTCAAGTCTGCAATATTACAATAATAAAATGAGCTAGTATCAAATGATGAATTATGACATGATTAGAGAATAATCAATAATTTTTTATTCTAATGAGCGAACAGAGCTTTATTTAATCGAATATGACAACACATCTGCATAATACCTTGCATTAAAATATTTTATTTCTATAGCTACGTAAATGTATAATCTTAATGGTCATGAAAATATATTTATACGTCTTACGAATGAAAATTTATCTATTAAAACTCATACTTCAAATAGAATAAATGTAGTTTGTTTAAATTTAAATTCTATGATCAAATTGAAAATACTACTGATGAAATTAGTCTGACTATTAATTATCATCAAAATTTCAATCTAAATGAATGAAGTTTATTTTAGTCAGAGTTTATTTTTTACAAATAATATCCGATTATATCACAACGGCAGATGTCGTTTATAAATTTATACAAACGTAAATTCTAGATAGATTGTAAAAAATAAGTACAAAATACACAATCATCACTATCTGTTTATTACTGTGACATAAACCTTCTATCTTCATAAAAATTGGCAAAAATTTATGATCCATTTTAAATTCAGATATCCTTATATTGTTTTCGGAGATCATAAACCTTTTTTTTCGGTACATGAATGGAATTAACCTTAAGGTGAAGGGTGTGTCATTGCATATTTTAAACTCAACTGTAAAACAAGAAACATTTTCGCTTGACGATTTATTTCATTCGTATACTACTCAACTAGAGTTTATAAACACAGAAAACCGTAGAAGTGCATATAAATTCACAATTGATCATCAACCCTTGCCAAAACTTATGAAACGAAATAGTTTATAAAAAGATAGACCACACTCATAAACTTACAACAGATTTGTGTAATTATAATCAATAGATAGTGAGAGTTTGTTGTTCTGCACTTTATCTTTACAACGCACTAAATAATAACTACGTCATGGTGTCTCATCTTTCGAGTGCTCGTTTAAGCACGTGCATTGAAATAACAAAAAATATGATATGCATGAGTGATTCTTGCTTTCATGATCATAAATATTCATATTATATCGTCATATCTTCATTAATCATTTATCTATTTTCCAACAGCTATATTTCTCTGAAAAAATTATAATGGGTGCACATATACGCAAAATGCTAGCGCCACAAAGCCAGCAAGGAGGACAACCATCTTCTCAGCCTCTTCCACAACAAATGCCCGTACCACAGGGATATGTTCAACCGCAACCACACCCAGTGGTATCAGCAGCTCAACAACAACCCGCGGTTCAACCTGTATCCATTCAACAGCCAGTGCAACAAGGGCAAGGTTTTGCACCGGTACAGCAACCCATGATGCCTTCCCAACAACCTATTATGGTTCCTGTACCTCCTCAACAGCCAATGATGCCTCCTGAACAACCTATTATGGTTCCTGTACCTCCTCAACAGCCAATGATGCCTCCAGAACAACCTATTATGGTTCCTGTACCGCCTCAACAGCCAATGATGCCTCCCGAACAACCTAATATGGTTCCTGTACCGCCTCAACAGCCAATGATGTCTCCACAACAACCTAACATGGCGACTGTTACTCCGCAACAATCCATGATGCCTTATTCACAACCTACTGCGATGTCTGCTGCTCCTCAGCACCTACATCAAATGATTCCTCAACCACAACCTGGATATTCACAACAGCCGGTTCAGGGTGGTTTTGCTCAATAATCAAGTCGTATAAATGTCAGAAGAACCAGTTAATTTTTTTCAATTGTTATTCACGCATAAGTAAATATTTGTTGCAACCTTTAGATAACATATTCAATCAGGCCGATCTTTTTTTTTGTATTTAAACACGTATATATATAAATAAAAAATAATATTACATAAAAAGCTTTTTTCTATACAGAAAATAGAGATAAATTAGAAACAACCCTTTGTTATCATATGTTTTGAAATTTAATCTTATTTGATTAACTCTTACAACAAAAATACAGATACTGGAATTTTGAAAATGCTTCTTTGATAAATAAATGCACGAAAAATAAAAAATAATTGACTTCAATAATGATGTTAATCATAATGTAGATAAGATTTTGACAAAAGAGAAGAAAAGTATAACACCAGTTTGTCCAATACCAAGTATGAAACAAAAGAAAGGTTTTGTTTCTACTGAAGCAGCATAAAATATAGCTGAAAGAAGTGCACCTAGAAATAAACATAATTAGGAATAGTTTTTCTATTTCGGTTTAAATCTATTCTTGTATTTTCGATCATTTCTGGTTCTCGAAAAAAGAAACAACGGATTTGAATGAAATATTTACTATAAATAGAGCACCTAAAATAAGAAGACGAACCCTGTCTTCTTAGTTCAATCGGGCTGAAAATTTCTTTTTGAAATACCTAATATTATATCTCATACGGTGATTTTAAAGTGTTTTTTTTTTAAATGTGACATTTTCTTTTCTTATGAGACAAATACGTAAATGTTCGGATCCTAAACCAAGGTGCTGACGTTTAGCACTCTATAAATCCAAATCATGAAGTGCGAAATAAAAACAGTCGATTACATCGCTGGAGAAAACTTATAAGTAGCTGGCATCAAAATTTCAGTCTGATCGGACAAAGTTTGATGGAAATCGTAAGCGGACTCGATATAGTTCTATGAGAAAATCATGTTTTCTACAAAACTTTGTTCATATTTTTTCCCTTGGTAATGTGTCTTCTTATTTTAAGTAGTCTGTTTGCTGTAAATATTTTCATATGGGTTGGTTGTTTCACCTTCATGAACTAGAAAAAGGAAGGATACACTCTTAAATATATTTACTTGTAAGAGCTGATGGAATGATTGGAGTTATAATTCCAGCTAAAAAAATAAATATCGCATACCAACGTCCAATTTTATGACTTCTTAATGATATAATAGCAATTATAGTAGCAATTAAATGTACAACAATAGATGTCATAAAGCACCAAAGAAATATTTCAGCCCATATGTCTATATGCAAAAAAAATGAAACAAGAATTATTAATAACAAATATATAATAAAAAAAAGAAATAATGGATTACCTTTAAACTCAACTAGGCGATGTGTAGGTGTTAATTTTAATGAATCAAGAATGCGTCGAAATGATAATTCTTTGATCAATTCCGGCATTGGAATAAAACGTTTTTCGAATAATAAACGAACAAAGTTTCAATCGTAATTAATTGATTTTTTCTCATTAGATCAATCTTTATCCAATCATAAAATATATTGTCTTCCTTTGAAAGTCTCTCACTAGGTAACTTTCTTCCATAATGGTAACAGTTCATCATTGATTTAAACAATAAAAAGAAAGAAACTAAATTATATTCAATATAATTTAATTGAACAATGCGTCTAAAATTTACATTTCCACCAACACTTCGTCATGCAGATCGTGTTGATTGTGTGGGATGGATGTCAGCAGATGATTTATATTCCGTTGGAGAAGATCATATTATATATAAATATAATGTTGTACAAAATGAATTGATTAAAGTAGCTGAATTAGCACAAGATCTTTATCCACTTGATATGCATTGGTTACCAAAAGGTGCAAGTGCTGGTGGTGGTGGTGGACAAGGATCAAGTTCAGCTTCAGGTGGAAAACGAACAATTGGTTCAGATCTTTTTGTTTTAGCAACAAGCGATGGTAAAAGATTAATGTTTTCTTTTTTTTTTTGAAATAAAAATATTTTTATGTGATTGATATTTAGGTAAATTTTGTTTTGTGAATAAAAATGGACGAATAGAAAAAACTGTTGAAGCACATCGAGGAGCAACCATATGTGTTCGATGGAGTCCAGATGGTAGTCAATTTGCGACAGGTTGTTTTTTTTTTCTTTTGTCTTTTTATATCTAATATTCTTTTTTAGGTGGAGAAGATGGACAAATTCGAATATGGGCACGATCCGGCATGTTACGTTCGAATCTTGTTCAATCAGGTAAGTTTTTAATATTCTTTAGTTTGTCATTTTTTTTTAATTTTCTTTGTTGAATTTAGCAACACCAATATTTTGTGTATGTTGGTCAGCAGAAAATGATGCAATACTCTATTGTGCAGGAAAACATCTTGTTATGAAACCCCTTTCACCTAATTCAAAACAAAATTCGGTATAAATATCAGACATTTTGTTTTGAACATAAGTTAACATCTGGTTTTTTTTTAATTTCTATTCGATTTAGTGGAAAGCACATGATCAAATTATTTTGAAATGTGATTGGAATACAGTTAATAATTTAATTATATCAGGTGGTGAAGATTGTCGATATAAAGTATGTATTTTCAATTGTCTTTTTTTATTTAAGAAATTTTTTTGTATAAATAAAGGTATGGGATGCAGTTGGTCGACAATTATTTGCTAGTCAAGCATTTGAATATCCTATTACAAGTCTTGCATGGGCACCAGATGGCTCAAACTTTGCTGTTGGTTCCTATAATACAATACGTTTATGCGATAGTGCTGGTGTATGTATATTATAATAGAATATTCTTTCAAAATGAATAAATTTTATTCAAATGATAATGAATGCAAAACGAAAATAGCAAACGACTTGCAATTCTCAATATCGACCAAGGAAACCTCTCCAGATGTCAAATCGCTTTTCGTCTGAGACAATGTTCATTTGATGACTACTAGTGAATAATAGAAAATTCTAGATTCATTTGATTTTCTGAGCTTTCGATCTTGAAATATCGAAAATTTATCGGAACTTTTGAACAAAAACTTGTGCTCTACTCAATTCATGTAAAAATTCAGCCTTCAAGCTTTGTATGAGCAAAGTTCTGAATCAGACTAGTTGATTATGCAAATTTTAGCTTCTTTAGTATTTTCTTTCTAGAAATGTAACAAAATATGCTTTTACACACACAAGTTTTGATATCTTAACAGTGAAAGGCTGGAAAAGCAAACTAATCTAGACTTTTATATTACTCATTATTATTCATCAAATATAAACATCATTTCGATTGAAAAATCATTTGACACCTAGTGAGATTCTTTCTTGAGATGGGATATTTGCATTATAGTGATCCATTTCGAGTTGTTAGTTGTAAATCAATAATATCTTCAAAGGTCTCAATATGGAAATGGCTGTGGTAGGCTAGTTTCGCCAACTTTTCATGTCTTGTCTAAGAAAATTTCGAGCTTTTTCACAAAATTCTCCGCCAAGTTTTAGAAGACACCTTTCCTCAGACAAAGTCCGCCAGACATATTGTCCCTGACTGTCAGTCTGATTTTCAATTCATTCCGCATCTAAAAACTATCGAGAATACTAATTGTCCTAGTGCATGTTTAATTTTAGTTTACACATATGGTAGAGAAAATTGAGTTCTCAAGTTGTGAACAAGGATAGTATTATTGATTTCTTTCATGTTGAAGAAATGAATAGCATACTAGAAATTCTAAAATAAAAAAAACAGTTGATCTTACTTCAGACTCATATTAGTCTAGATAAGAAGTGGCAGGCCCAAGGAATCCAGTACAGATATTGTTTTACAATTTTAAAGCAATCTGTAACCGCAAAATCAATGTCAATTTTACGAATATGTGTCTAAATTGAACATTCCAATATCTTCTGTTTTCCATGCCAGAAGTTTGGTTTCATGATTCTAATTAATGTCCATGTAATGAAGTGTATAGATTGTTTTTTTTTCTATTCTAGTGGTGTCATTCAGTAGAAAAACCAAAAGATGGTAGTGTATTTGGTTTGTCATGGTCAAATGATAGTACACAATTAGCATGTGGATGTGGTACAGGTCGAGTAGGAATTGGACATATTATTGAACGGTATAGAATTAACGATTTTGTGTGTCAAGAGAAAAAAGAAAAATTCTTTAAACTTTTTGTTTTAGTCGTCTTGATTGGCGTCATTTAGAATTTATTTTAACTGATTCAAAAGTCATTACTGTAAGCAATTGTGAAACAGACTTAAAAGATAAAATTGAACTTAAAGATCGTCTTGTTAAAATGTCTGTTGGTTTTGGTTATTTAATTATATTAACAAGTAATCAAGGTTTAATTTATAAGTAAGTAAAAAACCACATGATTAAATATAATATTGAATTATTTATTTAGTTGTAAACATCTTGGTCATCCAGCTCTATTTGATTTACGTGATATGTCCATGAGTTTAATTGTTCAAGCAGAAAAGTAAAATAAAAAAGAACAGTGTATGATCATTATTTTCTAATTTATGTCATGTAGATATTTTCTTCTTTCCGATGGGCTCAATATTTCAGTTTATTCATACGAAGGTCGACTTGTTTCAACACCGAAATTACTGTCAGCTAAACCTGATTCCGTGAATGCTAATACTGTTTCAATCAGTCCTGATACTATTGCTATTCGTGATGCAACAGATACAAAATGTAAGATAATTGAAAATTTTTCTTTTACACGTTTATAAGATTGACACAATGCTAAGACAAGCTGTGTATCAGAGAAAGGGATTTTATCGGATGTTGGTGACGCATGTTGAACCATACATGATATTATATCTTAGTTTTGTATAACAATATGCAGTGCATTGAATGGTATATAAGAAGTTACGTTCACTGGAAATTTATATGTGCCGAGGGTCGATACACTGGTTATAATACTTGAAGGATATGATAGGGTGCTCATAGACATTGTAATCCATAGCATATTCTAAGCCACAGTTATGCAAACGTTTTTTAAAACTCAATTCGATACAATTATA